TTGAGCTTGTTGTCCCTTGTGACTGTGGTTCCAGGCCCATGGGTTCAACTACTCAGTCCCTCTAGGTAGTTGGCCATGACCAAGAAGTGACTACAACTTTGTCCCTTGTCAGCTCTACTATACACCTGGGAATTCAGATCATACAAATACACTTATAGGACCATTGTCTACTAACCGTATACATGGTCTTGGGTACACTCCCCACTTCATAGACATACCTATAGTTCAGCCTGTGCATCTGTATACCCATGTTTGCCTTCACTGGCAGCACAGTACTGTATGTGCAAAAGGGTTCATCTTTGTTGTCTGTACCTCCCATGTACCTCTCTATGTCTTCGTCTTCCTCAGTGCCACCATGTTGACCACTCACATTTGGTACATTGCCCTTTTCTTCCCCCAAATCAATACTTATCTCTACCTATCTAACAGTGTTCCTACCCCTCCCCTCTCACCCCTGGTAACCAACAAAGAAAATTTCCTTCCATAGATAAACCTTTCCTTGACTTTTACAATAATGGACTAATACAATATTTGTCCTTTTGTGATTGACTTCTTTCACTCAGCATAATGTCCTCTAAGTTCATCCACATTATGCGGTGTTTTGCAGATCCTAGGTTATTCTTTAGGATTGCATAGTATTCCATCGTGTGTATGTACCAAAGTTTGGTTATCCACTCCATTGATGGACACCTAGGTTGTTTCCATCTTTTGGCTATTATAAATAGTGCTGCGATGAACATGGGCGTGCATATGTCTATTCTTGTCATGGCTCTCACTTCTTTAGGATATATACCTAGTAATGGAATAGCTGGGTCAAATGGTATTTCTAATTCCAACTTTTGAAGGACTCCCCATACTGCTTTCCACTGTGGTTGTACCATTTTACAGTCCCACCAGCAGTGTATGAGAGCCCCAATCTACATCCTTGTCAGCATTTGTTATTTTCTGTCTTGTTGAACTTTGCTACTTGTGCTGGAGCAAGATGGTATCTCATTGTTGTTTTGATTTACATCTCTCTAATGGCTAATTCGGAGCTCTGGTAGCATAGTGCCTAAGACACTTGACTGCAAACCAGAAGGCTGGTGTTCAAACCCACCAGCTAGCTACTCCTTGGAAGGAAGATGGGGCAATCTACTTCCGTAGTAATACTGCCTAGGAAACCCAAGGAGGGGTCACTATGAGTTGGGTCTGACTCGACGGTACATAACAACAACAAAATGGCTAATGATCGTGAGCATTTCTTCGTATGTTTGTTGGCTGTCTGAATATCCTCCTTGTTGAAGTTACTATTCCTGTCTTATGCCCATTTTTTAATTGGATTATTTGTCTTTTTGTTATTGAGGTGTTGGAGTTTTCTGTAAATTCTAGAGATAAGACCCTTGTCAGATGTGTCATTGCCAAATATTTTTCCCCGTTTGTAGGTTCTCTTTTGACTCTTTTGGAGAAGTCTTTGAAAGCACAAAAAAATTGATTTTTAGAAGATCCCATTCATCTACTTTCTCTTCTGCTGTTTGTGTATTTTGGGTTATACGTGATAGTCTCTTTATGCCATATACTAGGGCCCTTAAATTTGCCCCTAGTTTTTCCTTGAGGAACTTTACAGTTCTAGGTTTCACATTTAAGTATTTGATCCATCTGGAGTTTTTGTATATGGTGTGAGGTACAGATCTTGTTTCAGTTTTCTGCAAGTGGATATCCAGTTTTGCCAGCAACATTTATTAAACAAACATTCTCTTCCCCATTTAATGGATTTAGGCCCTTTGTCAAAGATCAGCTGACCATAGGTTGATGGATCTATTTCTGGGTTCTCAATTCTATTCTATTGGTCTATGTGTTTGTCATTATACCAAGCAGTTTTGACTACTGTAGCTGTATAGTAGGTTTTGAGATCCAGCAGTGTG